CTGCAGCGCCCGGGGAGCAGTTGGGGGTTCAGTGCCTTGCTCAAGGGTCTCACCTCAGTCATGGTATTGAGTGTGGAAGAGAGCACTGGTTATTCACTGTCGGAATTCCTGCCAGACCTGAGACTTGAACCCACAACCTTTGGGTTACAAGTCCGACTCTCTAACCATTAGGCCATGACTGCCCCCAATTAATTAATAGACAAAATGTAAACTCTTACATTTTACACAGTAAAATTACAACTCTTACACCGTAAATACAAACAAATAAAATACACAAGTGTAAATCCAATCCAAATTCAATATAATAACATTCATAAAAAACAAGCCAAACCAAAATCTACATTTAAACCATATGGGACCAAAGTTTTCAATTTATATATCCAGGATGCCTCCCGTCTAAGTAAAATGTAATCCAAGTCACCTCCTCTTCTTGGTAGAAGTATCCTCTCGGTTCCTATATAATGCAATGAGGTAATCGGATGGTTAAACTCAACAAAATGCATCGCTAATGGATAATTCATATTTCTACATCTTATTGTATACATGTTCTGCAATGTGTGTTTTAAGTTCTCTAATTGTTTTTCCTATATGATTTACCACAAGAGCATGATATCAAGTAAATAACCGCTTTTGTTATACAGTTTATTATTCCTTTAATAGGAATTGATTTACCAGTGTGCAGGGTTTTTAAATGATGTACAACGGTACATATAACTACACTGATTACATGAACCACAACGATAATTTCCTTCTCAAATCGGTGTTAATGTGGTTTGTGTTGTTACAGATGGAGGGGGAAACTTTGGTCACATATGGTTTAAATGTAGATTTTGATTTGGGTTGTTTTTTTATGAATGTTAAGATATTGAATTTGGATTGGATTTACACTCGTTTATTTAGTTTTGTTTGTATTTAGTTTTGTTTGTTTTTTTTGTTTTTTTATTGAAACTCTTATGTACTTTGATACTCTGTTTTTGTTAATGTTATGAGCATTTGTGATGTAAATGTAGGAGTTTACATTTTGTCTTCTAATTAATTATTGGCTGTTGACCCGGATGTCATTATCTTCACCTGTGCATGATTATTATTCCAATTTATATTGTTCTCCACTTGGTAAAGAATCATACCTTGACAAAAGCTACTTGTTTTGCGAAAACATTGGTAACTAATAAACAATGCTTAAGTGAGTGTGCAGATATATTTTTTCTTTATTTAGTTTGCCCCTTTAACTTGCACCCCTAAAAGGTGTGCATTTGTTTTATTAATTCATTGTCTAAAGGGGTGGTTCATTGCGATTTCACTTTTTTAACGTTAGTTAGTGTGTAATGTTGCTGTTTCAGCATAGACAATATCTGCAAAGTTACGAAGCTGAAAGTTCAATGCAAATGGAGATATCGTCTTTTAAAATTCTGGCAGTTTAATGCCTACAAAAACGGCTGGTAGGGACAACAACGAGTTACTTCCCGGGTTCGTGACATCACAAACCCAGATAAACCCTGCCCTCGGGAAAAGGCAGCAAAGGGGGCGAGGCCATGCTGCGCTGCTTTAGAGCAGTGTTTCCCAACCGGGGTGCCGTCTGTCGAGAGCAGGGGTGCCGCACAGGTTCTGCACGATCCTCTTCAATAATATCCTCTGCTTCTCAATCGGGCTCAAACTGATAAGCGATATTAAAGATGCAGTTGTTTACAAAACAACCGGAGCACATGCTGCCAAGGTGAGGGGCGGGACCTTTAGACGCGCGATAGAGGCGGTTTAGCCAATCACAACACACTGGGCTAGCTAACCAATCAGAGCCCATCGCCTATTTCTGAGGGAGGGGCTTCATAAAAGAAGGAAATGATCAGCCCGTTTCTCAGAGAAGGGACAGAGAGGTGTGGAATAAAGGTCAATTATGTGAAAAATAGTTTTGTTTTTTTTTTAAAACGAAGCATTAACACATGTTAGACTGCACCCCATAAACACAATCAAGCCTAGAAAAAACCCAGTGAACCACCCCTTTAAAAAGGGCATTGTTGGCACCATGCATTACAGGGTTATATTATTTCTTGCTAATAGAGCCAATAGTTTGTTTTAAATTTATTTTACTGTCTGTGTTTTACTTACAGGTTTTAGATGTTAGTCTGACCTTCTCTGGATCGGTTGACAGTGAATAAAGAGCCACTAAAGAAACATCACATTTAATAAAGACAACTCCATAGGGATCATAACACACAAATGTGTTTGGGTTACTTTCCATAATGATTCAAAAGTAAAACAAGAAAACTGTTTCTTCTTTTCTCTACATTTGTATTGGTACTCCATTTCATATTATAATATTATCTTCTGTTCAATCCATAATCCAATACATTTCAGATCAAAAAAAAAAAAAAAGGAAAATGAAATCTGTGTATGTTAGCAATCTATAATCTAAATATGATGCTTTACTATTTTGGCGTATTGGACAGTGCTGCATTAAGGAAATCAAAGCACATTCTATGCTTTAGATTTTCAAAAATTTATGGCACTTAATAATGCATTGTGTTGCCACCTTTGTCATATTACATCTGTTGCTCATAGGGATTCAAATGAGAAAATCCTTGAGCAATTTCTCTTCTAGACTTCTACCAGATAATTTCTCCAAGACATTGCAATATTTCTCAATTTTACAGACCTGTAGAAAGCTTGTTTTAAATGAGCAGAAAAAAATGAACAGCTTTTTCAACATAGTCTAATGCTCTTTTCACATAATTAAATGTTCTATAATCCAAACTGTTGCATTTCTTAATTAAGAGTAATGAAATTAACATTTGACTTCCACTCAGCCAACAGCAAGAAGGCTCGCAAAAATAATGAACAGATGAAGAGGAGATGGCCACAATACCATACTGGAAGAATATTAAATTATGTAGGAAATAAAGATGACCAAATAAATTTAACAGCTGTGGTGGTGTGTGATGACGGGTGCGAAGATGACGTCATCACTACCGCGATACAAACAACTGTCTTATGTTTCTTTACATTTGTTAGTTATGGTTCCGTGTTTCTGTTGACAATGGTACAGTTTACCAGGCATAAGATACAATTATGTTTGGTTCATTATCGTATAACATTTATTGATAAAACGGTTTAAGATATCATGTGGTTTGTGTTGATTGCAGATAGGTGCACATATCAGTGGTCATTACAACGTGTTATGTCTACCACAGTTCCCTGGTGATATGTTTCCCCATTAACCACACAGAGACAAGTTGAAGTTAAACATTTTGTAATTTATTATTTCAAATCTGTATTAATCTCCACATTGTAAATGGTTACCCTGCATGCTGTGTGTACTCAACATGGGTGTTTCTCAAACGGAAGGCTGCATCCTACCGAGGCTGCGCCTTTCCTAGTTCAGTCCTTCAGAGTCTTGTAGGCTAGAGTCGTCCTCGACATTAAACGCTAGAATGAGACACTCTAGTAAGTGCGCGAGGCTACGTCACATATGTTCGTATGTATCACCGTCACGGCACAAAAACACTAATAAAACTTAATTTTGGAAAAATACTTTGTATTACAAATCTTTATATTATTTTGCTTTCTATTAATGCAATACAATGAATCACAGTTGTCTAATCTCCCCGTGGCTCAAATTATTGGCAGCTTAGCATTTAGTAAGTAATTTACACCAAAACAAAAGATAACATATCCTTTCATGTCCGAAAACATTATTTTTGTCTTACATTGCATAATAAATTCAGACAAGCTCAGTACGGACTCGTCAGTACAAAGGATTGTGGGTGATTGAAGGTCGCAGAGGTGACATCCCATGCACACATATGTTCGTATGTATCACCGTCACGGCACAAAAACACTAATAAAACTTAATTTTGGAAAAATACTTTGTATTACAAATCTTTATATTATTTTGCTTTCTATTAATGCAATACAATGAATCACAGTTGTCTAATCTCCCCGTGGCTCAAATTATTGGCAGCTTAGCATTTAGTAAGTAATTTACACCAAAACAAAAGATAACATATCCTTTCATGTCCGAAAACATTATTTTTGTCTTACATTGCATAATAAATTCAGACAAGCTCAGTACGGACTCGTCAGTACAAAGGATTGTGGGTGATTGAAGGTCGTGGAGGATACATCCCATGCATCCTTCAAATTCAGCTGAATGAAGGATGCGAAACAAAGGCTGCCTTCCAAGGATCCTTCCAATTAAGATGGCCTTCAGCGATGTTTGATGTTTGATGTTTGATGTTTGATGACGTGGCAGCCGAGATATGCAGCCTTCATAGGATGCAGCCTTCCATTTGAGAAACACCCTATATCCTGGTCTGGTAACTCCTCAAAGGAGGGGCAGGACAACAACTTCCCCTTTTCTTGTGTTGGGTTAAACCATTTTTTATTATTATTAATAGGAGAGGGAATTTAACCCTTAGTGATGCAGGCATGAAGAGATGTTTCCTGGTGCTGTTTACATTTTATTTTTGGAGAATTACATTTGTGTTATTTAGTCTTTTTTTCTTTTCTTTTTTTTGGCAGTTAAGTGTCATATGGTTATGACTCAGAGATCAGAGAGCCTGTTCTAGGTGATATAAGCCAGTCCAAACTGAACCTTAGGAGGAGAGGGGTGAGCAAACTGCTGAAAGTTTTCTGAGGATTTTGCTGTCTGTAGCAACCTGTTATTTCTTTTGTCATGGGTATGTCAAAGTTTGCACTGAATTAAGTGTATATTATTATTATTTTATTTTTTTTACACTTTTTTTGTGAATATGTACAACACCGACTACTCCACTGGCATTCAATGAAAGTCCTCTTTGGATGATATCTGAGTAGGGGTGGGAGTAGGGGATTACCGGTTTCACTATAAATCACGATAAAAATGTCCTGACTGTTAGTATTATCGTTTAAAATTTAATTATCATCAAAACTGCTGAGAAAAAGCATAATTTATTTAAGTCCATATGTCTTACTAACAAGAAACTATGTTTCTAACCACAGGTGGAGAGCTGTAGTTCCTACCACGTAAGTTTGTGATGCTGTTTGCGAATGTTCGTTTGAACTATGGTTTTGGGAAACAACAAATCGTTGAACTATGTTGGTAACGACAGAACATGTGACCATAGTAGGCTAACCATGCTTTTGGGAAACGCACCCCAAGTTAGGTTCACAGTGTCAGTTACCACTGAGTATAAGTTACCTCTCTTTCAGAAACTGGCTTGACTTACCCTGCTTTCTCGGGTCTGAGAACAATAGAAGAAATCAGACCAACGAGAGAACAACAGTATACAAGTGCCATGACAACATGTCTAACATGTCTCAGTTAGTCTAGCACAGTACACATAGTTAGTTTATTATTCTTTTTTTTTTTGTATTATTAAATAATATAATGGAATAGAACAGAATAGGTAAGTGCTAGTATTAGTTGGTCAGGTGCTGGCGAAAAAGATGTGTCTTTAGATGTTTTTTGAAAATGGCTAAAGACTCAGCTGTTCGAATTGAGATTTTGTGCCTCTTTGGGATGGCACCACAAGACGCCATTCACTTGCAGAACGCAAGCTTCTGGAGGGCGCATAAGTTTGAACTAGAGAGTTTAGGTATATTGGTGGAGCGCCAGTGGTGGTCTTGTAGGCAAGCATCAGTACCTTGAATTTGATGCGAGCGGCTACTGGTAGCCAGTGTAACCTGATGAGGAGAGGAGTAACGTGAGCTTTTTTTGGCTCATTGAAGACCACTCTCGCTGCTGCATTCTGGATCAGTTGCAGAGGCTTGATAGTACATGCCGGAAGGCCCGCCAAGAGAGCATTACAATAGTCCAGTCTGGAGAGAACAAGAGCTTGGACAAGAAGTTGTGTGGCTTGCTCTGACAGGAAGGGTCTAATCTTCCTCAGCTACCGTCGGATCATCTGGTTGGAATGAGAAGTAGATTTGAGTGTCATCAGCATAGCAGTGATAAGAAAAGCCATGCTTCTGAATGACAGATCCTAATGACGACATGTAGATGGAGAAGAGAAGTGGTCCAAGCACTGAGCCTTGAGGAACCTTAGTAGCAGGAAGTTGTGAGTTAGAAACCTCACCCCTCCAAGACACCCTGAGAGGTAAGACTTGAATCACAGGAGTGCGGTTTCTGAGATGCCCATCTTTCTGAGGCTGGACAGGAGGATCTGTTGGTTAACTGTGTCAAGAGCAGCAGACAGATCCAGCAAGATGAGTACTGAGGATTTGGAAGCTGCTCTTGCCAGTCTCAAGGCTTCAGTAACCGAGAGCAAGGCAGTCTCAGTTGAGTGGCCGCTTTTGAAGCCAGATTGGTTGCTGTGCAAGAGGTTGTTCTGTGCAAGAAACATAGAAGTGTGTATTTGTCGTTATGAAGTTATCATCAGTTTGTGGTGTGGGAAATTGGTCACTGATGGTTCTTGTTTTATTTGTGAAGAAAGTTGCAAAGTCTTGGGGGAGGAGGACAGAGAAGAGAGGAGAAAGTTTTGAAAAGTGTAAGAGGGTCAGAGCAGTTGTTAATTTTGTTGTGGTAGTATGTCGTTTTAGCAGTGAATACATTTGCAGAGAAGGAAGAGAGGAGTGACTGATACACATTAAGGTCGGTAGAGTTTTTTGATTTGCGCCAATTCCTCTCTGCAGCCTCTTCACACAAGGAGGCTTCACACAAGGGCTGCCACGACCGCTGAAAGGTTATTTCAAATAAGATAAAAGAATTACCATTTCTTGCAAGAGACCTCCAATACTATCAGTAAGACTTAAATGACTATCCTACCCTTAGAGTTAGGATAGGGAAAAGCAGAAATCACACACTACAGAAGTAGAAAAAAATACTTTCCCTTGTACAAATACAATGACTATATTTTGATATTGAAAACTGTTCATGTTATTGTTGATAAATAAGATATCAATGAGCTGTAATCTACAAGGCTAATTATCTTCATTATAGTTATCTCGGGTAGAACTGATACCCCTCTGATTTGAGATCAATATAAATCAACATCAGGTGGCTAGTTTGGTCTAGCTGTGGAGGTGAGTTGTTTTCTTTTAGAATAATATTTAATAACTTTGACCGTGAAGTTTGGGGTGAAATTAGACTTATATTTTCAAGATTTAAAGGCTATGGGTTCATTCCTGATTGCTGTAATGCTTGAGTACAAAGGTGAGATTATGTATGGTCATTTTGACTGGATTACTAGTGCTACCATTTTACCACTTCACTGCTG